TCTCCGATATGGCCCCTTCAAAATGCCTCAGTGCTCTCACTCTACAATTATATATAAATAGATTTAAATTTTAATTTAATTTATTGACTTGATAATATAATTTTATTAAAATTATTAGATCAAAAGTAAGTTTTAATGTTTTATAGAACCCACAATCAATTCAGAAATCATAGTGAATCATGTCAAATTTTTAAGTTCAAATAACATTGATCATACATAAAATAATCAAATGTGGTGTGACATGACTTGAGAAACCTTTCCTCTCACTTTTTTGTCTTAGAATTTAAATTTTTTTAATTCAAATCTTAAGGTTCTTTCTCGCTATTACGTGTTATTTGTAACAATTCATTAACTCTTCAATAACCAATAACTATTTTTTTTAGTGGTAAAGTTATTTAGACCTAAAATCTAACCTAAATTGTTGACTTGATGACTTATTTTCATTGAAATCATTAGTTTTAGTATTTGATGAGACCTACGATCCATCTAAAAATCATAGTGAATTAGATTAACAAGTCAAATCAAATTTTTAGGTCTAAATAGAATTATTCTTTTTTTAAACTTCTTCAAAAATTATTTTTTATCACGTATAAGGTTGACTTTTAAATTATAGATGCATAAGGTTGACTTTCTATTGGAGTTAGGGTTTTGACCATTGGGTTGTTGACATAAAGGGAGGAGTTAATGCTTAAAACTTTTAGAATGATATTTAGGTTTTAATGAGAGGGTGGTGTCTTATAATATGCTAATGATATTGTTCTTGTCATGTGCACGTGAACGTGATCTAAGGTGCATGGAATGTGCGAGGTGACCATCAATGGTGAAAGCATTATAGCTTGTATGTTTATCATTCTTAAATTTGTTAAGTTGGGGTGAAAATATATCAAAAAATAAATTTAAACTCTAAAACATCTACTCACTTCATTTAAACTTAATAATATAAACTCGATATGACAAGATCCACAATTATTGTTTAAGTGAGAGAAAAGAAGGGATATAGCCACTAATGTGACAACTTAAGGAATACTATTTGAACTTAATTTAGGGATCTAATTTATTATAATTATTGAATTGTAAATAAACTTCGTCAAATATTGAAACTCACAATTAACATAATAGTTTGATGTAGAACCGGGGTCAGCTAAACGAGAAGGCCGTCGTGCATCCAAGGCCCAACAAAAAACAAAAAAGTGACAGTAGAGACNACTCACAATTAACATAATAGTTTGATGTAGAACCGGGGTCAGCTAAACGAGAAGGCCGTCGTGCATCCAAGGCCCAACAAAAAACAAAAAAGTGACAGTAGAGACAAAATGATTCAGACTCATAATTGATTGAGACCATTGGTGTTTGATTCGGATCAGGCCAACAATCAAGACTTATTGCTTTGTCACTAANAATGATTCAGACTCATAATTGATTGAGACTATTGGTGTTTGATTCGGATCAGGCCAACAATCAAGACTTATTGCTTTGTCACTAACTCCTTCAGTTTTAGTTCGAATTCCATCGTTTAGGTCCTGAAAATCCTATTTTTGTCATTCTAAGAAAAAATTTAGAAATTAATAGTAAATCATAAGAAATTCCGAATTTAGTGTCATCAGGTTTTTTTAGACTCCAAACGACACATGTTTTTTTGTTAATTAGTTAAATTGTAGTATTTTATTTTTGGTAATTTTCATATATTTAGGGATTTGACCTCTATTATGGAAACGATTATGGTTTTGGCCAATCCTATATATATTTTCTTATATAATATAGATTATTCATTGAATAATATATCTTTTTCAGAGATATTCTCTTTTATTCATTGTGGATTTAGAGTACTTTTGTTTTATACACTTGAATTAGGTACATATAGCATTGCTCGGAAACTTTTATGTGGCAATTCACTACTCATTAATTCAAATGTTGATTAATGCAATCTAATTTTTATTTTATTTTATTTTTGGCACCAAAGGCAATAGTGAATCACTTATAGTCATCAATTTGAATTTTAATTGAAGCAAGCAACATTTTTTTTTGGGTGCATCAAGCCTCCCCATTTATTTATGGTGGTGGTTTTGTGGATGAATCGAGTTAATTTGGGGCACAAGCTGCTGGTAGCATAGCAATTGTGGAGGTGTTATTATATATGTCTTACAAGAAAACAAAAGAAAGTTCTATTTGGAACTAATTTGGACCAAAACAAAGCAAATGTTGTTAATTAAATATTGAATGTGGGCCGGCCAAAAATTGTATAATAGAACAACTTATAATTTTTAAACTAATTATAACGTTATCTATGAGCTACATAGTTGACTCATGGCCATGCATGCATGCACCTTTTTTTTTTTTTTTTTTTGAAAAATGTAGAAAGGCTCTTTTTTAATATTTTTTTCCTTCCTTCTATAACCCAGATGAAATGAATTGGTTTATATTATAGGGTGTTAATCTTTTTTGGAGCTACCTTTTATCAAAATGAGCACAAAGTCGCATAAGTTTTGAAGGAACAATATAAAAAAGCATATTATATGATGTCTATTAAGTTTTTTTTTTGTACTCTACGATGTGTAATACTTATTTCTAGAGTCGAATGACTTGTGTACTAGCTACGATTTTTTTTTAGGGTGTGCGTTACATTAAAAATGTCTTTTATGATGTAACAATAACACAANTTGTACTCTACGATGTGTAATACTTATTTCTAGAGTCGAATGACTTGTGTACTAGCTACGATTATTTTTTAGGGTGTGCGTTACATTAAAAATGTCTTTTATGATGTAACAATAACACAAATCCTTTTTGGGTAATTGTTTTTTTTTAATGACTGATAATGCTCATGAGGAAATTATCCTTGAAGGTGATTCGTTGGTAGCAATTAAATTGACTATGCTCCCTTGGCTACTGTACTAGAGGATATATATTATTATTAGGAAGGAGTTGCTTAAATNTGGCAATTAAATTGACTACTCTCCCTTGGCTACTGTACTAGAGGATATATATTATTATTAGGAAGGAGTTGCTTAAATTTCATTTTTTTCGAAGTAATATCGGTTCATAGGATTACTAATAAAGTAGCACATCATTTAGCTAGACATGTTAATTTTATGAGGATTTGTGATGTATGAAAGGAAGAAGCACCGAATTTTGTAATGCCTCTTCTTTTGTCAAATATTCCTCAATAATAAATTTTATCGTTTCTCTAAAAAAAAACATTATTAATGAATCAGGTTTTTATGATTTTTAGTTTTTTTTTTTTTTNTAGCAATTAAATTGACTATGCTCCCTTGGCTACTGTACTAGAGGATATATATTATTATTAGGAAGGAGTTGCTTAAATTTCATTTTTTTCAAAGTAATATCGGTTCATAGGATTACTAATAAAGTAGCACATCATTTAGCTAGACCTGTTAATTTTATGAGGATTTGTGATGTATGAAAGGAAGAAGCACCGAATTTTGTAATGCCTCTTCTTTTATCAAATATTCCTCAATAATAAATTTTATCGTTTCTCTAAAAAAAACATTATTAATGAATCAGGTTTTTATGATTTTTAGTTTTTTTTTTTTTTTTAGGGTTCTTTCCTTATTTAATCTACCAAACCCAAGCCATTTGTGTATGTATTGTCAGAGTAACTGGCCTAAATGATTTCAAGGTAGTAGTTGGGTTCTTCAACCCAATCGATCATGGTTGAAAATTTAAATTCAATTAGAAAAAAATTGTAGTTCCAGTTCTTGAAGGGAGGAAGTACCTACTTTTCTGGTGTTCTGATTTGCTAATGCAATCTCCCCTGTAAACAAAGACTTAGACCAAAGAAGAAGAGAAAAATAAAAAGAGGTTTCCATGTTTTTATTTGATTTTCTTCCAAATGGGACCAAACCCAATTGAATTTCTCCTTAAATCAAGCAAAACCAATCCATGGAATGCTTGTAAATATTCAACTTTGCCAAAGTTTGGCAAAAATGCATTAACAAAGGTTTCAGCAATGTTCATCAGCACATATACATGTACTTGAAAAAGTCAATCTTTGCCAACTATTTATTATGTTCTACTTAAATCATTTCATACTCAATCTTTATCACAATAATTTTCTTCCATGCAACTCTACGCGCCCTGTTGTGATGCCCTGAGACTCCAATTGTGTAAGCTTTGAGGCTTGGCTTTATTAGCTTAATTTGTTGAAGAAGAAAAGGCACTGCTGTTGTCTTTCTTGGGTTATTTCTTTATTATCAAGGTAATGTATGACTTGTTTCCTGTTAGGATAATTTTTTAGTTATAACTTTGAGTTTAGTTTGAAAAAGGGAAAACCTTGATTTTTTTTTCCCTTGTTTTTTGAGCATGAAATCAGGTTCTTGGTGTTTGGGTTTGACAATTCTGGGTTTTGAAGGATTTTTAATTTTGGGATTGAGCTATGGGGCTTTGAGTTGTCTGGAAGAGAATGATTCCCTTGTGGAATTCTAGGATTCAGAGCTGGGACCTTTGAGTAGTTTCTGGGTTTTACTGAAATTTGGTACGCTGAGTATTTTGTCCCTTTTTTCATAACTATTTTTTTTTTTGGGTCTGCCGTTTTTTCATAACTTTAATACCACATTTTCATTTTTTCCAAGTTCAGTGCTGGATTCTGTTAATTAAATTCTTGGTTGTTTTAATTGAAAGAAAGGTGTTGTTTTAATTGANTTTCCAAGTTCAGTGCTGGATTCTGTTAATTAAATTCTTGGTTGTTTTAATTGAAAGAAAGGTGTTGTTTTAATTGAAAGAAAGGTGTTTTAGTACCATTTTGATTTTCCATGATTTGATTCTTGGTGTTTTCTTCCTTGCTAGTTTTATTGAAATGGGGCATCTTCATTTTCTAGGGGAGTCTTACATAAAAGCCTCTCTGTGTTTCTTCGTCTCTTTCGTGTGTGCGTGTGAGAGAGAGAGAGAGAGAGAGAGAAAGAGAGGGAGAAGAGAGAAATACTAGATTAGCAATGGCAATATAGAGAGTTGAAGTGCCAAAAACGCAGGGGTAGCCCTTTTCGATGGCAACAAAACCGGCTTTTAATGAGAGTTGTGAGTGGGGAATTGTATGAGATGCAGTGAAGGCAACGCCTTATATAACCCATTGTTTTTATAATCATAGACATCAACCCCATGTGAGCTTTGCTGCATTTTCTCATGGGTCCTTCCACTGCACTTTATTGCTGTTCACATATATATGTGATTTGTATATATACGCTTGGCACTTGATCCATAGCTCTTTATGCTTCATCAAAACCGCCATCCCTCCCTTATACCCCCTTCTTCCTCACCCAAGCTTCTCTTATTTCAATCTGCAAAACATCAAGGTTTTGCTGTTATACCACGTAGAAGTACTTATAAATTAACCTTTACAGCCATTGACAAGTGTTTATAGCTTATTTGGATTGTGGGGTTTTGGTGAGTATCAATTATCAAAGCAAGCTTCAAGCCATTACATGCTTTTCCTGTCGTCAGGTTCACAACTTCGAGGTGTTTGAGAATGATACTGACTTGAAATTTGTGTTCTTGTAATTTTTTACAGGTGGATATATCATCGGATTGCAGTTGTGAGATGGGTTTAGCTCGGAATCCCACAATGAGAAGTGGGGATTCCTTGGAAGGGATGCTGACTGATTATGTTGGAGGAAAGGCCAAGCTGAGAGTACAAAAAAGTGCCTCTGCTCGGCTTGTAACAGTCCTCACATGCCTCCAATTCGCCTTTGCCGTTTATGCCACCTTCCTTCTGTATTACATGAGTCCAGCAATTGACTTAAGGACCAAACCAGACTTCGGATGGGCTACTCGAATAGCGCAGCAATGGAAACACTTCATAATCCCACCACACGTTGTGAGCCGGTACCAAGAGGCTTCTTCTCTCATTCAGGCTGAGACCTGGCCAGTTACTCCATCTGAAGTATGTGAGCGTGAGAAGATTGATTTTGTGCAGAAAAAGTCCAATGATGCTTTGATGATCAAGTTGAAAACTGAGCTTTATAGGGAGGTATTAGAGTTCCAAAGCAAGTCCATTGGCACTGAGACTCTTTCTGAGCTGATGGCAATGAAGTCTAAGTGGGGCTTGAAAGGCCCAAACATCCCAAAAGTTACTGTGATCTTAAACCATTTCAAAAGAAAAACCCTTTGTGCACAGATTGAATCTTTGCTTCCCCAGACCCTTCCATTCCACCATGTTTGGGTACTTTCATTCGGGAGCCCAAATGAGCTCTCCCTCAAGAGAATTGTAAATAGCTATAATGATTCCAGAATAAGTTTCATTAGTTCCAGCTATGATTTCAAATATTATGGAAGGTTTCAAATGGCCCTACAAACAGAAGCAGACCTTGTGTATATACTTGACGATGACATGATACCAGGGAGGAAGATGCTGCAAATTTTATCACATGTAGCAGGGACCGAAAAGTATAAGAATTCTGTTCTGGGAAGCATTGGCAGGATTTTGCCTTTTAGGCAAAAGGATTTTACTTTCCCAAGTTACAGAAAGTTTAGATCAAAGGAGGCAGGGCTTTATTTGCCTGACCCTGCTTATGATATCATGGTTGATAAGATTGTGCAGGTAGATTTTCTATCTAGCTCATGGTTTCTTTCTGCAGAGCTTGTCAAGACTCTTTTCATTGAGACACCCTTCACTTTCATGACTGGGGAAGATCTGCACCTAAGGTATGTGATGTGATGGATTAAGTTTGAGTTCTCTTTATTTTTCGTAAATTATATCATACTTCATATGCGTTAATTAAGAACAAACTGATGGGATTTTACCTTACAACAATGTTGGTGTCCGTGTATATCTTGATCATATCTGGAAAACTTGGGTACATTTTTTCCTTATTAGGAACACTCAGACATGATTTAAGCAGCCAGTATATCATTGCTCTCGGGCTACGAGAACTAATCATTAAACCAATAATACTACATAAAATAAATTTTGGTAGGGAAGGTTCTTCCGATATTATTAATTTTGTTTGACTACAAGAAGAAAATGAAATTTATAGAGTTGGTTACCTACCTATATTGGATTGTGTAGATACAAATATTTAAATATGGAAAGGGAGGGAATAGAAGGGGGAGACTTCCACATTGCATTACACATTGGTGTTGAATGTGACTAGTAGAAATGGAAACTGAATTTAATCTATATTAACTATCCAAAGCAGTGAAAAAGCTTATTTAAAACTTCAATTGTATCCAAGTTAACATCATCTGTTTGACTAATAAAGCTCAGACTAAGGTTCAATTAATAGAAGAAATAGTATTTAACTAGCTTTACCCAAATGAAACTTGATTCAGAAAAAAAATATATATATAATGACTTCTTTAAAGAATCTTATTCAAGTGGTCAACTTTGCTGTTCAATATATATCATATACAAATAAAGGTAATTATTTTGGGTTTGTTTCACACATGGAACACTAATTTCTGATGCAAGAACTTCAGTGGAAGTGGCAGATACTTTATGAGATTTCCTTTTGGATTATCTGCTCATTATTGAAGTAATCTGGTATATTAATTTAACCGAAGACCACTGATATATTTTCCACCATGTTACAACAATGTTGCCTATCTACAAGGGGCATATGATCAATCATTTATGTGATCCCATCTGGGTTTCGCCATAGATTTTATTGATCCAATTACAGTTTTGTAACTTTTACAAAATGATTGCCGCAATAAAAAGAAAATGGCGCTGATTAATTGCATTAAAGATCATTCATATGAATTTTTAACTTAGTTAACCGCCTTTTTTCTGTGTTAAAAGTGTCTAGATTCTGGATTTAGGTTCTAATTGGTGCAATTTTACAAAATATATACATGCAGTTATCAGCTTCAGAAGTACAGAAACGCTGGTTCATTTGTCCTGCCAGTTGATCCCAAGGACGAGGAAACTTGGGGTGACAGCGAACACAGGCTGGCTTATGTGTCTGAAACCACAGTAATTTTCAAAGACATCGTTCAAGTGCGAGATGATCAATGGTGGACTGCCCTCTCTACTGGTTACATAACACAATGGGCTGCAATGAACCCTCAAAAAATTGATGCACTATTCTATGCCCATTCTATTGATGAAGTCAAGGCTCTTGCCCCTCTTGTCGAAAAATTCAGGTCCACTGTTGGCAAGAAGGCTTATATTGCTGTCTCTGGAGGCAATTTCTGCCCTTGTGAAGTTGCTGCTACAGCTTTGAAGTGGCCGAAGGCAGTGTGTAAAGAGAGAAGATTTAAGATTTTTGATTTGGGAATTGGAGCTCTTTCGGGATTATCAAAATCAGAGGTGCCTGTGTTACAAGCAGTGTATGCTAGCATGAAAGGGCTGATCAAAATTCACAACCCCAGTGTGGTGATCACCGTGGCTGATATTGATTCAAATGTCAAGAAAGCTTTGAAGATGGCATCGGAGACTAGTGTAAATGGTTCAACACTTGTTCTTTTACCAAGGTCTTCTGTTTCAAAAGTTCTCTGGATGGCTGATTTGCGGTCTACAGCATTGCCAAGTAAGAATGATTGCTCTATATGTTCATTAACTTTGTTGATTGCATAGTTTAAGTACATCTAACCTTCCCTAAAACCCGAAAATATTAGGAGTCTCGTGCACTAGACTGTCATTTAGTTTGTGCACCTGTTATGCAATTGCCTGAGCATTCTATTTGTCAAATGCAGATTGGAACAGGATGCATATTTCTGTAAATATAATCACCCAGAACCGTGCTGGTTCATTGACAAGGCTTCTCAAATCTCTCAGCAATGCCTACTATCTTGGAGATGAGGTCTCTATCACCTTCAACATGGACAGCAAAGTGGATGAGGCAACTCTAAGGCTTGTGAACTCATTCAATTGGCCTCACGGGCGCAAAACTTTCCGAAGAAGAATCATCCAAGGAGGGCTCATCCGAGCAGTCAGTGAGAGTTGGTACCCCTCATCAGATGACGATTATGGCCTCCTACTCGAAGACGATATCGAAGTCTCTCCTTACTACTACCTGTGGATCAAATATGCCCTCTTAGCATACCACTACGATCCACAAATATCTCTTCCTGAGCTCTCATCAATCTCCCTTTACACACCACGTTTGGTAGAAGTAGTGAAAGAGAGACCCAGATGGAATGCAACCGAGTACTTCAAACGCATTCATCCAAACACACCATATCTCCATCAATTGCCTTGCAGTTGGGGTGCAGTTTTCTTCCCCAAGCAGTGGAGAGAATTTTATGTCTACATGAGCATGAGATTCACCGAAAACGCCAAGCAAAACCCTGTCCAAATTCCCAAGTCAAGAACAAATGGTTGGCAAGCTTCATGGAAGAAGTTTCTGATAGACATGATGTACCTCAGAGGCTATGTCAGTCTCTATCCCAACTTCCCGAACCAGACGAGTTTTTCGACTAATCACATGGAGCCTGGGGCTCATATAAGTGCAAAGGACAATGTGGTTAAGCATGACAAGAGTGATTTTGAGGTGCCATTGTTGAAGGAAGACTTCAGGACCTTCTTGCCAAATGGAAAGTTGCCTCCAGCCTCGAAGCTACCATCTCTGAACCTCTTCAATCAAGCAGTTTCTCTCAAGGGACTTAAGGCTGCAGGAGCAAAATTGGGTCAGGATGTGCTTGGATGCAATAATATAACAGAGATAGTAATGGTTGATCATGAAACTGGACTCCCTTCACATTGTGCAAGATTCTGAAAAACTCCATTCATGTTAATCATCATTCTTTTGTATATTTCAATATTTTTCTTGATGTTATATTTAATTTTCGGTTACTTGCTGCGGGCGATCGGGAGTAGGAAAGAGTGGGAGATAAAGACAACCCAGAGATTCTTCCTTTTTTTGATTTCCCATTTAATTTAAGGGGAACAATGATTCTTGGTGAGGAACTGTGATTCTATTAGTCATGCATCAATGCAGAGAAAGTGGCATTCTTAGTTGTCTCTTAACATTATCCCCCTTTCTCTCTCTGTTATTATTGCCTTGTGGTCACAAACAACTTTATTAATGGAAGAAAATAAATCATTCTTTTCCCTTCTGTTATGCTCTTATGTTCATCTTAGCTGCCATAAATGAAGTGCTTGATCAAAACAGGTTCTGGGCAAAATGGCAACATCATAAACATTTTTCAATTTGTTTTTAGACTCGTAACTGCCAAGTGAACTGTGTATACCGACATTTCACCTACAAATCACGTGCATAGGAGATGTTACAACACTAACGCCTTCTCATGTGAGCCATCGCCAAGCTTTTTATCATTGACGGTTGAAAACAGGACAGTTAAAGCAGATCCATCACATAAATTTCATTCAATTTCCTCTCATTGACATGTGATATTGCACCCAACCAAGACCCCAATTCTCTTGTTTGTTCTGCATTTTTGTGGGTGGGTGAGGTGAGGTCACGTTTAAACATCTGTACTGGTTGGTGAAACATATGACAAAAGCAGGGTGAGATGTTTCGATCTTGCATTCCAATTGTGAGCATGACCGTGGATAATGTGTTCCTTTTTAAGGCCTAAGTGAAAGTATAACAGAACTTGAGCAGATTAGTCCATTTGTCCAAGGCCATTTCAATTATGGTTCAANATTGTGAGCATGACCGTGGATAATGTGTTCCTTTTTAAGGCCTAAGTGAAAGTATAACAGAACTTGAGCAGATTAGTCCATTTGTCCAAGGCCATTTCAATTATGGTTCAACAATTATGGTTCAAAATATCGGCCGATTCTATTTTACGTGTAACATTCTGTTTTGAGACTAATAATGGTTCTATATAAATCACGGTCTCATTCAACTCATTATTGACTCAGGGAAATCTCATTTTATTCTATCATGATATCTCAAGACATTCCTAAATTTCTCATCATACGCAAGTTTTCCTCTTATGTATCGTCTGATACCATTTCTCGCGTCAACATCAATGTGAGTCTATATATATCCTACTAGTCAGATGGCCACTAATGCGACCTAGTTGAACCATGCTTTCAATGTCCTAAAAGAAAAAATGAAAAATTCAGACATAATATCTTGATCCCTAGTACACTTTGCTATAATGACAAATCACTCATCGTGTATATACATATAAATATAGAACTTTTTAACATGGTATGGTCATTTTTAAACTTTACCATTGTTTTTATTTTTTAGGATATTGGTTTAGATGAATCTGTGCTTTAAATTCGCTTTTTGTTTCCGGTTTAAATATGCTTATAAAGTACGTTTTGAATATTTTTGGGTAAATTACACTCACACCCCTAACATTTGGCTTTATTACATGAACACTCCCTCACATTTCAAAAATAACACTGAGACACCTTGACATTTGAACACTTGTGACAACCGCACCCTTTTTGTATGACAGACTTTAACTATTTCATTAAAAAGACTTTTTTACCCTTATAACATTGAGATTAACAATCTCTTAATCAAATTTATCTTAAAAAATTTAATTAAATCAAACCAATCTAGTAATTAAGGTCATTTATCTCCAAAATTCTTTCAATTATAGTTAATTTCATTCATTAATTTAAATTTGACCCCCAAATTCAATTCTAATTTATACACAATTAACATCATCACCATGCACCACCAATTGCCATCTCCACCATCAGTGAAATCCACCATACAAACCCACCCAATTTGCCCCCAAATCCACAACACAAACCCGCCAACCCATCAATCTCCCCCGCTATAACCCACCTTCCAGTGAAATCCACCAAACACTGCAAGTCCACAAAACCCTTCTCCCCTCCCTACTACTTGAGATTCTTTGTCTCTTTGTGTGTGGCTAAGGGATAGTATAGCACCCCCTTCGATTGTAAAGAACTTAGATTTGAAAATCGAAAAAACTTAGATCTTAAATTTTTGAAAATTCTCTCTACTCCATTTTGACCATGAAGAACTTAGATAAAAAATATTGAAAGAAATATCTCTCTTTCTCTGCGATGCTTATGGCTAAAAGTGATGGATGGCTAAGGCAAGTTTTTCAATTTTGAGGTGTTTGGTTGTGCCTTGAAGAGGTGGGGTTCGGGTTTTGACGGTGATGGCTTTGTTGTGGTGTTGGTGGTTATGGGTGACAAACACTAATGGGAAATGGAGTTGGTGTTTGTGGGTGGTGTATGCTAATGGGAAGTGGTGTTGGGGTGACGTTTTGGATAAGGATGGCCACTGGAAGGTACTGCAATGGTGGGGAGCCACTAGCAATTTTTGCTGCCAAGTAGGGATTTTTCTTTCTCTGTCTGTGTGTATGTATATATATATATACACATATATAGACACACACACATAGAGATGGGCTAAGGGAGAGAGAAGACTAGTGATTTTTGGGTTAGTTCTTCGTCGAGAGAGAGAGAGAGAGAGAATGCACTGGAATTACTGGTGCAGAGGAGACGAAGATGATAGTTAGGGATAGGGTTTGAGTTTGTGCTAAACAGAAGGGTAAAATAGTCTTTTTATTAAGATAGGTAACTTCATCTAACTATTGGGGTCTCAATGTAATTGTTGAAATGTGAGGGGTGTCCATGTAATAAAGCTAAATGTCAAGGGGTGTAAGTGTAATTTATCCAAATTTTTTTTTTTATATAGTGTATTTGAAAAGTCATTTTACTTTTGAAAATGTGAATGACATGGATGGACTAATGTTTGTGTGGGTTTGGTGCTGTGGCAAAAATTATGTTGCGTAGATAGTACATGTCAGCCTCATTTCTTTCAAGAGGAATTTATTTTGTTTTGTAGTGGAGACTAATTGATTAGATCTGAATTTTTTCTTAGTGTTTCAATGAATGCTTTGTGTAGCAATGAGGCATGCCCATTGTATATGACATGGGTTGGTTGTCTCACAAATATTGTGAAATGGGAGTAATTTATATGGATTGTGGGGTTTCTCTATTTTTATTATGCAACGTAAATGTTAGAAAGTTTAAAAACGCCAAGGATCTTCCATTGAAATTTGGTATGTTTTACTGTAGTGCGCAACCTTGAATTTGGCAAAATCTTGTGACTACTTTTGTTTTGCCTCTACAGCCTGCACATGAGAAAATTGGTGTGGTTGATTCACAATGGGTTGTTCATCAAGTAATTCCTTCTCTTGGGAGTCAGGTGAGTCATCAATAACTTGTCAATATTAAGATGACATTTT